TTTGTGTACAGTCAAATATTTTAGCAAAAAATGCCAAATCACTCCATTATTGAAAAATCATTTGACCAGAAACTTTTCTTTTTGCGAGGCCTTATGTAGCTGCTGTTACAATAATTAAACTGGGACGGTTAACCTTGGATTGAAAATCTAGGTGCAAAGGATGCAATCCACAAACAAATTTAAACTTCTAATCCAAAACAAAATTTTTTCCAGGTATTGACAGAACATATTAATTCTTTGTCTAGTTTATTCAATTTTATTATTTTCGCCACTAGATTATCATGACACATCAACATGGGATGTCAATAGCAGTTATTGGGTTGTGTATGAGGGCTGGTCAATGCTGATACATTTCTGTTCAGCAAGAATATACCATTGTAGGATATTTATCATCCTGTTCTGTATCAAAATGTTGATTTTGTTTTGTAGGTATCTAGGTTTTATTGAAAATTTGTAAAATATGGAAAACATATTTTGATTCATACAAAAGTACAAAATATACTTATAATATAATTCATAATACATGTATATCAATATCCACCCTTTAAATACTTGGATATTTCTTGGGAAATATTTAACAAGCCCGTGAATAAAAATGTCTTCCTCTTTTCTGTCATAGGTATGCTCTCAGTATAAAAGCAGCAACCACAGAACTTAGAAATTATCTATCTACTCTCTGGAGCGAACATCCAGACATTTTCATTGCCTGACAACCACAACCAGTGAAAACAAGGTTGAAAAGTCTCAGAAAACTAGCGTTGAGACTCTTCTGAACAACGTAACAAGATTACACCTACATGTGCAACATATAATTTGGTTGTTTGGGATTTTCCAAAAATTAAATTTGTGCTGTTCATGGTTTTAGCTGTTTTCACAGAACCCATAGAAATACATTTTACAGTTGTATTCATCATAGCAACATGTTCTGTGACATAGCCCCGCCTCTGAGAATAGATGTACATTTCGCATGATAACCTGGTGTAATATTTAAATATTACTGGATAGAGTACGTTTGTACGTACGTACGTTTGTTAGGTCCTTACCTTCATCATTCATACTGTCCATTATTGTCATCAATCTTTTCAACCTTGCCATGGACTCTTGTTCATTTCCTTTACTCAGAAAATCCGACCCAAATCCAGGAATCATGCTCTGGAGATGAAAGATTGCATTGTCATCACAAAGACAGTATTAACATGAACTGTAATTCAATGGGGAATAGCAATGTTGTATTGTTGAAAAAGACTTTTAAGAACTTTGTCTAAAAATAATATCTAAGAGTTCACAAGTCAAACTAAATTTTGCCGACA